ACAGCTATCATTATGTAGTTTATCTAACTGATACAGCTATCATTATTGGAGTTTATCTAACTGATACAGCTATCATTATGGAGTTTATCTAACTGATACAGCTATTGTAAGAGCAATATCTTTTATAATATCAATTTAATCAACGTGACAATATTTATAGTCGTGGGTTGCTGGACATGTGATAGAGCTTTGAATTTTGGAACTGGAGAGACGGGTTCGAATACATATCATACCACAAAATACCGCTCTTCTAATTTAAACTGTGAGTGCATTATAAAAGCGGTGGTAGTATGCTGCTGACTGGCTGCCTTCTTTCTGGTCAGTAGCTCAAAGTTAGAGACGGTGGCAGACAGCTTTAGAAGTTTTGCCATAGGTATATAACAAGTTGAAGATATATATGTGTATAGATGTGTCGTTTTACCTGGTAGACTTAACTCTCCAACAACAACAACAAAAAAAGGAGAATAAAGTAGGATCAAATATAACGTTGTATCAATACTTTGCAGCTGTTCATATTTCGCTAGGTAAAAATATGGAACCCAAACGCATCAGTAACGCTTAAAAAATATACAAATAACATTAAATGTTATTTAAGTAAGAACGATTTTTCAACGAAAGTAATAACTAGTATAATTGACGAGAACATCAATAAAGCTTCCACCCCTAAAGAGGAGATATAAAACGTACCAAAAAAATACATCATATAACACTATCATTCACCGGTAAACATGCCTTGAAAATAAAACAACTAAAGACTTTACTGTAAAAATTAGAACTTTGAATCATCACTAACCCTATCGTCAAAATAAAGATATATTTTGAGTTTTAAGACAGCATAGGCAAACTAAACCTCTCGAATGTCATTTGCATGTATAAAAACTCTGAGTGTTGTAGAGTATATATATATGTTTAGGACCAGACAGTCTCGTCTGACCTTGTGTTATAACATGAACAAGCTATTATTGTGTGGTTTAATGACTCCTCGCTAGATCGGTATATGTTTGTTTGTTTGTTTTTCGCGCAACGCTACACGAGGGCTATCTGCGCTAACCGTCCATAATTTAGCAGTGTAAGACTAGAGGGAAGGCAGCAAGTCATCACCACCCACCGTCAACTCTTGGGCTAGTCTTTTATCAACGAATAGTGGGATTGACTGTCACAATATAACGCCCCCACGGCTGGAAGGGCGAGCATGTTTGGTGGGACGGGGATTCGAACTCTCGACCCGCAGATTGCGAGTCGAGCGCCCTAACCACCTGGCGGCCATGTCGGGCAGATGATCGGTATATGAAATTAGTTGCTGGTTGAATTTTGGATTTTAACTTTACTTGATGTCTATTAAGATATTCTGAGAAATTTCTATTCAGAAAAATGTTGATTTCATATTATAATATAAACATTTGTTTCTTATGTATTTATATAGACCCACACAATTAGATTTGTAGAGAAGGAAATAAAGAGATCCACACAGTAGCAGGTTTTATAGAGAAGGTGATACAACTAAACATAAAATATAATTATTTCCCCTCCAATACATTTTTAGAAATTATTTTTTATTGTGTATATGATAATTTCAATGACATAAATCAAATTATATTATACACAACAAAATTAATTTCTAAAATAAAATAAAAATACTTACATAAATGTAGAAATACTTTTTTATATATATATATACTTATTATAAAATATTTTTTTTTTAATTATGCACAAAGCTACACAAGGGCTATTTGTGCTCTGCCCACCACGGGTATCGAAACCCGGTTTCTAGCGTTGTAAGTCCGCAGACATACCGCTGTGCCACTGGGGGGTTATTATAAAATAAATTTAAAAACTTTGATTAAAGTTTGTTCATCGAAAACTATTAAAAAATCAGGTTTTGTACTATTTATAATGGGTTTGTTTGAATTTATGCACAAAGCTACACAATGGGCTATCTGTGCTCTGCCCACCACGGGTATCAAAACCCGGATTCTAGCGTTGTAAGTCCGCAGACATATATAAATATATATAGTATTTCAATACTAGGTTTATTCCTCTCCATCCCATGCTCATTGGTTAACTTGAGTACTTATAATATTACACTTAGGGGTTCGATCCCTGCACTGGTATGGTCTATTAAACACATTAAACGAATCATACAGGCTGCTGTGTTAATATACAAAAAAAAACAGTAACTCAATATTCAAAAACATGAAATATATAACACCATAGCCTGGTGGGTCCGGCGGTCATCTATTAATCTGCGGGTCGCGGGTTCGAATCATCGTTCCACCAAACATGCTCGCCCTTTCAATCCCACTATTCGTTGGTAAAAGAGTAGCCCAAGAGCTGGCGGTGGATGGTGATGACTAGTTGCCTTCTCTCTAGTCTTTCACTGCTAAATTACGGACGAACTAGCGCGAATTTGAAACCAAACCAATAAATTATATATATATATATATATATATACTTGAAACAATGCAATTACAAAAAAAAATTAAAATACACTGTTGCTAAGAGACATGACATAAGCAATGACGTATCGACCCCCCACAAGTAAACTTTAACAAGATCCTGTATTGAATCCCTCGCATGTCTACCACTGAAATATAGAATCGAGGATTAACCAGTGACGTATTAACAAGAAACCCACGTTAAAATAACACAGAAAATAAGTACCTTGCTACAAGCCATTTTCAGGTGGTCTTAAAGCAATACGTAAAACGCTACGTTTTCTAACTGCGTGTCATAATTCTGATTTTCAAAAATAAAAAATGTTTTTAATATCTTCCAGTTTAAAGAAGAAAAAATTGAAGTGTAAAGATTATTTAGGATGAATTTGTTTGTTGTTAAGTGCAAAATTCAACCCGAATTTTAGTGACATAAACAATGGTTAGGGGGCTATAGAGAAAGGGGGAAGTAAGATGAATACAATGCCACATATCTTTTAGTTACGCTTACTACTGTTAAGAGTTTTAAACCAAAATTATGCGTCGCCTAGAGGTACCGTGCCCGGACGTTGAATCCAATGGTTGATGTCTTTCGTCTGTTGTCACCAGAAACATGCTCCCCTCCTATGCGGTTGTGGGTGCGCTAGAAGAAGGTAGCCAAAGATTTGGCGGAGGGTGCTGTTAACTAGCTACTTTCTGTCTATTGATTTGTTTGTTGTTAAGCACAAAGCTACACAATGGGCTATCTGTGCTCCACCTACCATGGGTATCGAAACCCGGTTTCTAGCGTTGTAATTCCGCAGACATGCCGCTGTGCCACGTGGTGGGTCTGCTTACTGAAGTCCATCATTTCAAAAATAGTTTGTTTGTTTGTTTGTAATTAAGCACAAAGCTACACAATGGGCTATCTGTGCTCCGGCCACCACGGGTATCGAAACCCGGCTTCTAGCGTTGTAATTCCGCAGACATACCGCTTTGTGCCACTGGGGGGCTTCAAAAATAGATACGACTGTGTACAAGTAGTTCTTGCATAGCTTTGGAAGAAAATTACAAACAAATAATTTGTTATTTACTTTATTTGAAAAGGTGATCGTGACATCAATTTCTGAACGTAGCACAAAATTATCATCGTTTTTTTTTAATTTGTTTTGTTTTCCTAAAAAAAAAAAAACTGTTTCTTCTGTTAAAATTGTTTGTCATTTTA